GGTCCCCGGTACGGGCGCGACACCAAGGGTTGCAATCCCGTTACCAGTCAGTAAAAAAAAATACAAAAAGGAAAAAAAAAAAAAAGAAGACTTTTTGAAATTTACCTCCGTCAGGGTATGATAAAAACTAAAATTAAGAAACATTAAGAACTACATTTAAGAAATCTTTATAGGACATAAGCATTATTTAAATATTCTTAAATTTTACAAAGCCATGATGCAGAGTACACAAAATAATCAATGGAAGCACACAATATCAGAGCTTACCTCTTCGATAAGTAGAAAACTAACACAGGATATAACTAAGGCCTAGAGCAAATTAATTTTCCATCCATACAATCAATTTAATGTTACCTTCCCCCAATTATTCTTAAGAAAAACTTCATTCCTTGAGTTACCCACATGTCTGCCAAAAACTACATTAATATCAAATACTCTTCTGTTATAACTATTTTTTTGACCTCCAAGAAGTTTCCAAGTCTCAAGGAACATTAAATTTAATCATTGAAAAATTATTTCTTGCAATTATTGCCTTATATTCATACAGCTATTCAAAATTTTGTAAATATATTTTCCCCATCATTTTATCTGACCCTAACAGTAATTCTGGAAGACAGGCAAGATAACTGAGACACAAGGGTGTTAAAGTGGGTTTTTCCAAAAGCATATACTCACTAACTAAACATCTGTACGAATCTACCATATGTATGGAGCTAAGATAGTGCTGAGGGGGTTCAAAGATGAAAAAACTGCAGTCCTCATCCTCAAGAAGCTTATAACCTAGTCATGGAGAAAGGCTTGTATAGGAATACCTGGTTTAAATTAAGTGGAAGTAGCAGTTGAGCTGGCACTTAAAAGATAGTGAGAAGGCAATGAAGGAAAAGGGAACAACAAAATAAAGTCAAGATAAAGCTAGTGTGTTAAGGGAATCCATCTAATTAATTCATAGTAGGTAGAACTGGGACTGCTACTCACTTCTCTTTGCACTATACCAAATACCTTAATTACTAAAGTATTACTTTTAAAATTGTTGAGAGAAACACCATTTAAGTAGTGGTATGCAATGGTGGCAGCAGCTAGGGAGAGGAGCAGTGATGACGATGCAAGAACAAGTCCCTTTAGGACTGGTCAAAACTAGGGTCCAAATGAGGTCTGTGAAACACCATTTAAGTAGTGGTATGCAATGGTGGCAGCAGCTAGGGAGAGGAGCAGTGATGAAGATGCAAGAACAAGTCCCTTTAGGACTGGTCAAAACTAGGGTCCAAATGAGGTCTGTTGTCCAATCACTTAGGAATGGTCCCACCCAGGCTGTCAGTGTGAGACTTCTGTGTGGTAAGCAGTAAAGGGTGCAGAGGATAAGAGCATGGATTGTGGAAGGGGGCAGAGCTGGGCTCATCCATCCACTCCACAAACATCAGCTGAGCACCAACCACGTGCCAGGCACCATTCTAGACTCGGGAGAATATAGCAGTGAAAAAAAAAAAGGCTCTGATCTCACTGGCCTCACTCTCCAGTTGAGTGTAGGAGATGAATGACAAGTAAGGAAATAAACACATGTCAGAAAATGATAAGGACTATAAAGAAAAACAGGTAAGGAGTAAGAGGGATAGAGAATGATATGAGACTTTGGGAAAGATATGTAACTTCTCTGAACCCCAGTTTTCTCATCCATAAAATAAAGGTAAGACTACCTACCTTAGAAGGTTGAGATAATGCATATAAAGTGTCTTGTATAGTGCTGGCACATAGAAAGCACTAGAAAAGGTCAACTCTTACTTTTACATAACTGGAAAGGAACTATCCCAAGAGGCAATGACCCTCAGGGTAGGCTTTGCTTACCCTGAGGTAAAGCTACAGTAAAGGTACTCTGCTTTAGAGAAAGGGATAAGAATATTTCACTGAAATGCAATCAGAAAGAGAAGAGAGAGCTCTGGGAGGCCTCCAAATAGTTATGCTAGGTTAAACTCTAATTAACTGTGTTTTAATAAGTTATATCAATAAAATGTACCATCTTATCTAAGACTGTTTGTTAATGTACATTTTGGGAAGACTTCTTAAAATGTTCATTTGCACAAGGTAAACAATCACAGTTTTAGAACTTCACAAGAGAAATTTTTAGACTGGGAATAGATGTATAAGAAAGCATCACTTTGATATCCAGTTATGGTCTTCACAGAGTTAAAATTTTTTTTAAAGAAAAGACATAATATCTTAATAAATCACTATTAAAGCAAATATAAATCTTCTACCTATATTAAACGTAGTTTGATGTTTTTTAAGTTTGACTTTTTAAATTTCCACAGTCAAGTCATTGCTGTATGATGTAATTGTTTCAACAGCTGTTTTCAGGTCTTAAAAAAAAAATACTATTCCTTTCCTTGATTCCATGGGTTTGCAGTATGTCATTTAACCTGGCATGCTTTTAAGCTGGAGATGCTATGGAGTTCGACCATGCATCTCAAGCTTCCTAAGACATAACTTAATACAGCTTTTAAACATTTGAAATTCCAACTTTTTGCTTTAAAAATATTTAAAATTCATAAAGAAATTTTGTTATGCTTTCTGTTCTTTGTTGTTGGATTTATAAGACTAAGGAACATAAAAATTAAAACTAATTTATTACAAGTAATATAGGATTTTTAATGTCCATTTAAGATGTTGCTTGTTTATTGTACATGTACTTTAAAAATACATTTATATACATAACATAGCTTTCTAAGAGCTTTTCAGGTTTAGATAATGCATTTCATCAACAGGTTTTAGATTCTGACTCTAACCCTCAAACATGTGGTAACCTAGTATCATACATCTGTTATTTGCAAACTGAAAGGAATCCAAGCAAAGCACTGTATCCTAAAAAAACATGAGACAAGCAGAGAAAAGAAGGAAAAGTTTCCTTGGTAGCTCCATAGTGGAGTAAAGCATCTCAAACTCTTCATTCTGACCAACTATGCATGGCACAGGCCATATACATGAAATTATGGTGTTCTTCTATAAGATGAATAGACAGCAGAATGACTTTTAATTGCCTGGGTTTGGATTTTTCTACATGCAGATAGATTGGTTTCCTATAAACTGTGCATTTAAAAATAAAATTAAAAAGGAAATAAATGGAAAAATGTTTAATACAAGTACATGAAGGAGACTAACCCAGGGTCCATGGACAGGTGACTGGGTTTATGTGAAAACCCTGAAACATTATGCAAATTATTTTCATACAAGTAGAACTTCGGAGGGAAATAGGTGGTCACAGTCATCAGTGTCTTAAAAGGGTCTGTGGCTCCCAATTATTTAAGAATCCTTGACTTAAAAGATATCTCAGCCCCATGTGCAAGTGACTCACATTCTCTGAGTTGTTTTTCTAGCAGTAGTGGTGAAATGTTAGGAGTTTCTCTCCTATTAATTGTGAATGCCTTATTCTCCAAAGGGAACTCAATTGCAGCACTTAACAAAATGCACTATAATTATGTGTCCACTTCCACTGGATAATGTATTCCTTAAGAGCACCAACAGGGACTTACAGTCCTTGTCTCCTGAGTGGCTGGGACAGCCGGTACACAATAAGTATCTGTGACCTTATCATCTTGTATTATTGTTATTAGCTTGTGCATCTGTCATGTCTTATTTACCTCTGCATTCTACAACTCTGTGGAATGATGCTGCGCACATAGTGGGACTTGAAAAAATTGCTGAACCAAGTTGATTTGTTTCTGCCTAGAGAGTCTGTGGTTTCTCTTGGCTAACAGCTTGCTTAGATTCATGCTGACCTGATCTTGTCTTTAAAATCAGCCCTGAGTTCCACCAATGCAGTTGTTTTCCAGCTGTCTGTGAAAATGTTATAATATTTCAGCTGTGTTTTATTGAGTTCTTGAAGCATTTTTCCTGTCCACCCTGGGCTCATCCACTTTTGCTTCAATTCCTTGTGTAAGCAGCTGCTAAACTATCCTGCTGTATTCAATTCTCCTCACATACTTAACCCAGCCCAGCAGATTTTGCAACATCATAGCTTCAGTGCTTGGGAACAAATACTACAAGTCTTAATGAAAAAGGTGTCTGGTCACTTGATGTTAAATATAGTAAGTAATATTTTATTTACCTCTGCTTTCCAGAATTAGTCATTATCAAACATTTCTTTCCCTACTTTCATGTAGAAAGGGTGATTTTAAATGTTACAGTAGTCTTACCCCCAAATATGTTTTAGACATACAAATCCTATTACATTTTTTGAGTTTACTATTGCTTCAGTTTTTCAAGTGAGTTGACAAATGCTTATTAAAAATTTATAATTCAAGATAAAAATAAAGCAGTTCCTATAGGAAGAATAAATGTACCAGCACCTGTAAAAACAACTCCAATTCTTTTTCCTCTAAAAAGCAGTAGTTAATATGAAAGATTTGTTTCTTCTTATGCCAGGTTCCAGCTGCTTCACTTTGTTTAAAACTGACTTCAAAGTTTAAACACTGTCCTGTCCCAACAAATAACCTTCCCCAGATGGAGTTATCTCAAGTACTATCCTCAGTGCTCTGAATACCACACCTGCAGCCTTTTAATTCAGCATTTTATAAACTTTCCAAAGGGAAATGATAGATTTTTTTTTATCCCCTAACTTATACCTTTTGGAGAGCTGAGTTCAGTGCATGAAGGGAGTTCTATACCTAGGGTGAATTTATAGACACTATTGAATCATTAAAAATTGGCTTTAGTATTTCTACTGTGCTGATTATTATGAGAGAAAGAAATCATAAGGAAATGAAAAAATATAAACAGCTTCAAGTCCAAGAAAATCTTACCTGTAAATACAGATGCTAAGTACAAATTGGGCTCAGTTTGTGTCTGATCCATATCATCTGGTGAACCTACATTAGAAAATTATTTTCTTCAGAAGAAAATCACTTAAGCATAGAAATAATCATGATTCATTCTTAGTCACCAAAAAGAACACAAACCAAATACACTCCCACAGTTACTCTCATAAAGCCAGGTAAACAGAAGACTAATTTAGTGGCCTTAATGTAAAGAAGGAAGTTAAACAGCTGAATTTTAATGACTGTCAATAGAAAAATACTTTACCTACTGGACTATTATCTTTATGCATCAAAGATGAGGGAAAGGAGGAAGCAAAGGATCATGAGAGAATTTGCAATATATATTAAATAAAAGAAACTCATGGGCCATTTCTTCCATGGTTAAAAGTTTTCACAGATTCTCTTACCTAAGGATTTAATCACTACAAAAAGAAGTTTAGAATCTCCCTTCTCCCTAGGCCAGCCTGGGTCATAATGCTCAAAACAATCTGTGTGAAACAACCAATAAAGTTGTCAAGGAGCACAGAAAAGCAATACACTACTAACCCAAAGCAAAATTTTAAAATTAAAATGAAATAGGCTGAGGGAAACACTAGAGAATTAGAAAAGAGAGAAAAGTTAAATAACTAAAGAGAAATCTGTGGCACATATCATTTTCAGGCCAACAAGATGCCCATACTGTTAACCTGTGCTCTAAACTACAGTCAATCACTAACCATCTTCTTGGGGCAGTGTCATATGGAAAAAAATTATAATATGATATAATCAGTATTCCTTCTCTAATTTTCTGTAAGATAAAAGTCAGTCATCTCTCAAGCTACTTGTGTTTTATAAAAATTTCAAGTGGATTTTACAAGTAAGATAATTAAATGATGAAGATTATAAGCATTACATATTTCATTAAACTGAACACTAGAGACAAACATTCATGTTAAACTATTGTAGTTATACTGTAGAGAACTTATAAAAATTAAGTTTGTTAAAATGAAATGCAATACGGATCAATGAAGAAAAAAATCAAAGCTTAAAAAGAGTTGTTTTAGAAGAAAATGTAGTTTCATAAGGAACGGATTGTAGACAAACACAAGAGGCTTGTGTATTTGATATCTACAAAAAGACCAAAATTGAACACCTAACTTTGATATAGTTTCTAAAAATCTTTAAATACATTAAAAGTGCTTACTGTGATGTTAATTATTAGAGGCTATCTATGTTTACTTCCCACTCTGTCTCTTAAGTTTCCAAGAGTTAGGGAGAGAAGTTACTGCGTGGTCCCTCCTGCTTACTGGAGCTGCCTTTCAGATTCTACACAGCACATATAGTACAAACAAAGGTATCAGTACCACCACAGAGGCTTCTGCCATTGAAGAACCATTTGTTTGTAGCAAGTAAAATTAAGTGGCAGTCTTTTCTGAGTCTCAGGTTCCTCAAATGTAAAATGAGAATATTACTTGCCTAACTGGGTTGATTAAGGATCTTAAGAGTAGGTCACATATTGGAAGTGTACATAAATGGTAACTATTACATATTGTTGTTGCTGTTATTGTAAAACATAAATAAAACTCTCCTCAACCAAACCTGGGGGAGAATCTTGATTTCTGCAATGGTATTTCCTAACAGTTTGTTTTTTTTTAAAAAAGCCACTATCTTAACATCAAATTTGACTATTTGTAATTTACTCTTGTAACTAGTAGTTTCATAACTCTCACTTGTTGAATGATGGGGCTTACCAGAAGGATGACTATTGTGCTCTGCAACTGAAGATTAAAGAAGAAAACACAACCTACAACCAGGTCAACACAATTTGAAAACAGCTTATCAAGTTTGTAGATTCATATACTTCCTCATCCTGCTGCTCAAAATTGAAGAAATGTAATTCTCACTGGTATGTAAGTCAAAGGATGAGAAGAGAAAAATTCTTATTAGGGCTTCCGGTCAAGATAGTGGAATAGATGATCCCCAGCATCATTCTCTCCCACAAATCAACTGATTTACAACTATTAAAAAGCAATAACAACCAAGCTGAGGCTGCTAGAGCTCAGGGAAAGAGGACGAGAGACCTATGGAGTTCATGAAGGCAGGAGAAGCTGCAATGAAAGAAAGGTCAGCTCTGACCATTTTGAGACCTGGCTGCTTTAAGGCTGGAGGTGGTGACTCATGGAGAAAGACCTGGCAAAAGCCACAGCTGTGCCCTTCATAAGACATTGCTTGGAGGTGGCAGCGGAGAAGAGGGCCTTGGTGGCTCCCAGGCCAGCAAGACCACTAACAGGGTTCCCGTGGACCCACATAGGAGCAAGGAGAACAGGCAACTTTAAAAAGAAGCCACTCAGAGGCCAGTGAGTCATCACAAGGGACCAGCACATGGCCTATCCTATGGGAAGTGTTTGGAATGTGGGTGGTTGGAGAGATGGGCCAACCAGGGGGAACACTGGGGCACAGAATGGACATCTGGTCTGCCCCCTCAATCAGAGTAAAACCACTCAGTGGAGACTGGTCAGGAATACAGAAGTGCAGGGGGTGCAGTTTGCTGAAAAGTCTCAGTCCCAGACCAGAGTTTACATACAACCCAGGTGTACCAGACGTCACAAGACCCGGAAGTGCTTATGAGGACAACAATTAAAACCTGAGCTGCACAAAAAGCCTTCCCCAGAGAATCAGCAGCAAAGCAACAAGTGCTGGTTCCTACAGGAAGTTCGCATTTTAGAAGAAATCAAAGGACAACAAATTTTAGTTCCAGTGCAGAGTTTAAGTGGTTGGAACAGTGAATAATCCAACGCAGAACTGAAAGAAAAAACAAAATAACCACAGATAAGAAACAAAGTTTGATATTAACTGGTAAAGGTCTAATACCACCAAAGAACACCTATAAGACCTAGAAGGACCAGAAGCCCCCTGGGAACTCAAGCTGGGGAGAGGAGAGGGCCATGGGCCTCAGCCATGCCACTCCCATGACTACACCCAGCCAAGGTGTGATAACCAGGCTGCTGCCAGAAGTGCCCTGGGCGCCTGAGCTAGGATGGTGGGGTCCAAGGACCTCAGCCACCCCCCCCCCAACATCCACAACCAGCCAAGCATTGACCACCAAGCTGCCACAGGAAGCACTCTGAGCTCCTGAGCCAGAGTGGTAGGGGTTGAGGGACTCAGCCACACACCCCTGACATCTGCAACCAGCCCAGCGTCAACCACTGAGCCACTACAGGAAGCACCCCAGGCTACCGAGGTGGGGAGCCAAGGACTTCAGGCATGCCCCGACATTTGCATCCGGCCCAGCAACAACTGAGCTGCTGCTGGAAGCCCCCTGGTGTCCCCTGCTGGAATGAGGAGGGGTGCCATGAGCCTCAACCATGCTCCCCCTTTCTTTCTCCTCCCACACTGTTTCCCTTCTCGCTGTACCCCCCAACTGCTCTGCAACATCTTAGAATGTAAAAAATATATACTAATTTTTAATTTTATCTTGTCAATATACAATGTGCTTGATTATTGTGGTCCATTATAGAAACCTCCCTCTCTCCTCCCTCTCCCCCCTCAATCCCAACAACCTATCTGTTCGCTTGTCATATCAACTTCAAGGAATTGTACTTGTTGTGTCTTCTTCCCTCCCTCCCCCCAGTTTATAAGTGTATTTATTTATTTGTTTTTAGCTCCCACAAATAAGTGGGAACATGTGATATTTCTCTTTCTGTGCCTGACTCGTTTCACTTGATATAATTCTCTCTAGGTCCATCCATGTTGTTGCAAATGTCAGTATTTCATTCTTTTTTATAGCAGAGTAGTATTCCATTGTATAGATATACCACATTTTCCGTATCCACTTATCTGAAGATGGACATGTGGGCTGGTTTCAACTCTTAGATATTGTAAATAGTGCTGCAGTGAACATTGGAGAACAGGTATACCTTCAACTTGATGATTTCCATACCTCTGGGTATATTCCCAGCAGTAGGATAGCTGGGGCACATGGTATGGATAGCTGCAATTGTTTGAGGAACCTCCATACCATTTTCCATAGAGGCTGCACCATTTTGCAGTCCCACCAACAATGTATAGGAGTTCCTTTTTCTCTGCAACCTTGCCAGCATTTATCATTCACAGTCTTTTGGATATTAGCCATCCTAACTGGGGAGAGATGGTATTTTGGTGTGGTTTTGATTTGCATTTCCCGAATGCTGAGTGATGTTGAGCATTTTCTCATGTGTCTGTTGGCCATTCATATATCTTCCTTTGAGGAATGCCTATTTGGCTCCTTTGCTCATTTTTTAATTGGGTTATTTGTTTTTTTGTTGTAAAGTTGTTTATATTCTAGATATTCTAGATATTAATACTTTGTCAGATGCATATTTTGCAAACATTTTCTTCCACTCTGTTGGTTGTCTTTTAACTCTGTTGATTGTTTGTTTTGCTGTGCAGAAGCTTTTTCGTTTGATATAATCCCATTTATTTATTTTTCCTTTGGTTGCCCCTGCTTGAGGGTCATATTCATGAAGTCTATACCCAGTCCTACTTCCTGAAGTGTTTCCCCTATGTTTTCTTTAAAGAATTTTATTGTTTCAGGGTGTATATTTAATTCTTTAATCCATTTTGAGTTGATTTTGGTATATGGTGAGAGGTAGGGGTCTAGTTTCATTCTCCTGCATATGGATATCCAGTTTTCCCAGCACTATTTGCTGAAGAGGCAGTCTCTTCCTCAGTGTGTAGACCTGGTACCTTTGTCAAAGATCAGGAAACTGTAGGTGTATGGGTTGATTTCTGGGTTCTCTATTCCATTCCATTGATCCGTGTGTCTGTTTTTATGCCAGTATCATGCTGTTTTGGTTATTATAGCTTTGTAATATTGTTTAAAGTCAGGTAGTGTTATTCCTCCAGTTCTATTTTTTTTTTTGCTCAGGATTGCTTTGGCTATGCATGATCTTTTGTTATTCCATATAAATTTCCAGATAGTTTTTTCCATTTTTGAGAGAAATGTCATTGGAATTTTGATGGGGATTGCATTGAATCTGTAGATCATTTTGGGTAATATGGACATTTTCACAACATTAATTCTTCCGATTCAAGAGCATGGGATATCTTTCCATCTTGTGTCCTCTTTAATTTCTGTCAACAGTGTTTTGTAGGTCTAGTCATAGAGATTTTTCACGTTCT